CGCTCTGCCTGAGCACGTGCTATCAGAGATGGCTGCACGTTTGTGTAATAACGTAAGCTGTTAGGTTAGGCAAAAAATCAAGATGGGCAGCTTTGAAAATCACCAGCGGCTTTGCTTTACATGGCATGGATATGTGCAAACGTCTGAGAAGGGGGCGGGTGCTGGGAGAGGTTAAAAGAGGAATCTTAGCCATTGGAAGTGCTCAGGGAAATTCCATTCATGTTCCAGCCAAGTCTTTCTGATAGGCAGAAAATGTGCTGACATATGGCAAGAAATGCAGTTAGCCTGTTTGTGGAACACAAATCTTTCAATCTAACAACATCTTAGATATTCACCCCAGTCTCTGGAGGATTTCTATTTGTTTTAATTTTACAATGTGTGAATCTGCCTCAGTAGCATATGTATAACACATTTGACTGTCGTGAGAGTTATCTGCATTCAAATGGCATTCTTGCTCTTTCGTTCTCTGGATTATAAGAAGAGATGAAATAATAACACCTGCTACTCATAACTCCAGTGAATGAGATGAGAAATATCTCCTGTCAATACGTAACAACCTCAGCTAGCTGTTTGGAGAGCGAAGAGCTGTTGTGCAGAGATTTGATTAGTGTCTTAAACAGAAGGTGGTTTAGGGAAGGGAGGGGGGTCTGATGTGCAGAGAACTAATGCTGTGCCCTAGGATGCGTGAGATGATGGGCTGTGAGGATAAAGAGACGCAAACTGCCTGGAAGTCAAAAAAGTTGAAGGCTACCAAGTGACAGGTATTTAGTAAAGGTCACTTTCCACACAGCAAGAAAATGGAGCGGTCTCACAGGTGCTGCAGCAAAACAAACCTGAAGGCGTATTGGTTTAAAGGAAATGTTCATTCAAATACTACACTTTCACTGAAAAGTGAAAGACTTGTGCCTGTTAAAATGGCTACTGAGTTACTTAGACGTTTGTTTGACATTTTTTCTTTGTTACAAGATGTCTAATAAAATTCATGTATAAGAACTGGGAGGACTCGACAGTAATACTTTTAGTCCATTTTATTAACGTGATTACATGACCTAAAGCAATCCTCAGATACAGTGACAAAAAATCTGATTGATTCAACCTGGGCAAAGGGCTAAAAATGTAAAGTGTTACATGAAGACCACTGTCTCTTACTGACACTATATGTAAAAGTAAGCTACCAGAGTTTTTTTCAATATTTGTGTTGTATATAAGCATCTTGAGAAAGGTGTTAGCTTGACAACATATTTTTTAACATGATTAACAAATGTAGGATTCTGCTTCCCAAATCTTCTTACAACTGTGAATTTTCCCTATTCTCGCTACTGGAATCTTTTTCTTAACGTAAAGATCCATTAAGAGATGGCAAAAAGTCTTACCGTCATCAACAGGGTGTTTTGTTTTCTCTGTTTAAATTTGTGCTTTCTAAGGGTCCTTTTGCATAAAAACACAAGCTGTTGTCACAGGTCAAAGATAGGCATCTAGCAGTGATCCTAACTACAACAGAGCAATAAAGCTTCTGCTCACAAGTGGCGAACAACGGCAAGGGGTGAGTCCTCCCAGCTCCTCCTGCTCCTTTCATGATTCAGTTCTTTTATTTAGTAAACCCCTTCTCCACTCCTAGGCTGTGAGTTAGCACATATTTTGTGTGGTGCAGGCTAAAGTAAAAAGGACATAAAACGCAAAGAATACAAACCCCCGCCCCGGTGTTCTGCCTGCGGTTAATATTCAGATGGGGAATAAGAGGAGAAAGAGATGATGCAGTGAACAAAAGCCACGAATTCAGATTCGTATTTCCACCGATTTATTTATTTATTTATTGCCGAGATGGAGTTAAAAAAATCAGTGGGAAGATTAATACCAGTGAGGAAGAATGTGAGGCACAAAACAAAAGAATGAGAGTGAGAAGGAAGATAAGCAGCTGGGAGGCAGACAATACCACGCAAGATTCAAAGATTTTAAGGCCAGCAGGGACCGATGGGATAAGCTGACCTCCTGAATAACACGGGCCAGAGGTTATGAAAAGGTATAACCAAGGGAGACACGGGGAAAAGAGAAAAGAAATAGAGACAAAGATGCGGATAGAGCTAAATTCACTCGGCAGAGGATCAGCACAAGCCATTGCACCTTCTTTCCAGGCAAAGCTGAACCGTAACCAGCAAGAGCAGTTAAAGTAAGAGCAACGTGGGAACGAAGGCCAGGTTTGGAAAGGTACTTAAAGTAGTGTACGGTGCAAATACACCTTGGGTGTCTGATGGTGGAAATGCAACTAAGGAGGGGGGGAGGCAAAAGGGATGCCAGAATAATGTTGCTGTAGGAATTTGAACAAATTCTTGGAGGAGCTGCAGTTGGTGAGTGTTTTGTCATTATGACACAGAAGCAAAGACTGGGTTTTTTTCTGTTTTTCAAACCTTAATGTTAACTGGAGAAAAATACCTTGTTTAAATGATCCGGAGAATGAACAACTGCATGTATGAAATTCAGGCCCTTTTTCTGGCCACCAGTGGTCAAGTAACCAGTCGGGTAGGAAATTATCATACAGATGATATGGAATTTGAATGATTAAGGTTCTGGCCATATCAAGAAAAGAAGCTTAAACATGACACAGGAAGGGAGTAAAACAATTTGAAAATGGAACAGGATTCAAATAACTCTTTGAGTTTTTCATATATAGATATATATATTTTTTTTTGGGGGGGGGGGGGGTGGGGGGGTTTTTTATTATTGTTTTTTGGGGGGGAGGGGAGGGTGTTGTTGGGGT